CCCCCACACTACAGCCATCACCCACTCTCTCTGTCCACGAAGCCGTCTTATTCACTCTGGCCTTTCTGATAGCTGTACACTTGGAGCATGCTCATCCTAAATAAGCCCAGAGGATAGGAGCTGCCATGTCCACACACACAGCCAGCAAGGAGCCAAGTCTGCCCTGGGGTAGGGAGCTGGCAAGCTGGCATGCAGGTGGCATGACTCCTCGGATGCCCTGTCTCTGTGGGCGGAGTGCTGTCAACTCGTGGTCTCGGGAGGACTGTCACTAGGCTGCTTAGTCTGGCTCTTCTGCCTGTGAATTCTCTAGGCACTAGTACCAGCATCTGTACAAGGGCTTTGGGGGAAAAACAAAAGATTTAACAAGGGAAAACAAGCATCGGTAAATTTCACCTTCTGTGTAGCTTTGTAATATGTAGCAAAAAAAAAAAAAAAAGTTAAATAGAAAACAAAAATGAAATGTTAAATTACTTAATTTGACATAACCAGTTTTTAAAAACACTTTCTTGGCTTACCCCATGCATTGGTAATAGAGGCGGAATTGGTTCGGGGCAGTGCAAATATCTTAGTCATTACCAGCTTCTGCAGAACAGAAGCAAACAGAACAGCATATGGAAGTATGTGTCTGTACTAAATTTCATGGGAAAGGCGAAATTAAGAAGAAATGTCTGAAACATCTCTTGGGAGGGAGTGATAATGAAAAAGAAAAAGGTTGAGAAAATTGGTTTAGCCTAACCAGCTGCAGCTTCGGAGCTGGTTTTGCAGGCCTAGCCTGATTAGGACTCTGAGAGGTGTTACTGAAGAATGTGCTCCACACCTGTGGCCAGTTAAGCCTGGTGGTCAGCGTGGCTGTCTGTCTGCTGGTCCATACCCCGTCCCCCCTCTGAAAGGCTTGTTCTCAGATACAAGGGGGGAAGGAGACAAGCACACATCAGACGAACACCTAACATGTGCCCACTTTTCTCAAAGGTTAGTCATGGGACACCGTGGAATTCTGTGTGCTCTAACTCACCTCTTTAAACCATTTTGCTACCAGTTCAAACACAGATTTGACAAACTCAAATGAGATGACCACAACACAGATTTCTTCATAACTGGTGCTTTTGTTTTGATCAAACATTGAAAAAAATTTTTGTTCATTTAGTATTAAAATGATTGACAGAGTCAAACTGGGGGACTCTGCTGAAAGGTATGCTGGAAACATCTCCTTCAGAGATTTCTCTTTCCCTGTGAAGAAACTGAGGCAGAGGGGTGCTGCAGCTGAGCCAGGTAGGCAGGCTGGGACCAGTGCTCAGACCTTAGATCGCACTGCCCGACTCCGGGCATCAGGATGCATGAAAGAGGCACACTGTCAAACCCTGAAGAGCAGGGCGAGGCATTCATTCCTCATTCTGGAACCTGGAGATTAAGGATCTAATTCGAGACTCATCCCCTTTGCTGGGCTGTGACGTCACTCACTTCTGGAAGCTTCATTTGATTTTAGTGATTTGTTTTCTGCTAAGAGACATGCTTTCCCCACCACCGCGCTTTCTGTGTCCTCTCAATAGCTTCCCTCTGTGTGAAGAGCAGCGATATTCAAATATATTAAGAAAAATTCATGCAGTTCTTTAAAAAAGACCTCACTCTTACACTGAAGTTTCCATTTTCTTCATTAAACTTCTGTCACAGCTGCTAAAATCCAGGGCTAAAGAGTCAAAGGGCTGTAAGCAATTGGGAGGGGGAGAGGGGGAGGGGGGGCAAGGAGTGGGGCGGGGCGGAACTTCAAGCTCATTAAAGAAACATTATTACACAATTCCAAACTTTAAAATTCCCAATTCATGAATTCTGATACACAGATGAAAAGTTGCCAAACTTTTAGAAGTAAGCCCACAACAGACTGTTGGTACCACACAAAATTTGAACATATCTACATGATTTTCCAACTTGGAAAGTTGTAAGAGCAGCTTTATCAAAGAAAAAGCAAATTTCCATTAAGCAAATGATTAATGCAGTAAAAGAAAAAAAAAAAAAAAACAGACATTGGCGCATACCATCAATATAACTAACTGCCCCCCCCCCCTCCTTGAAATATTGCTTCTGGCTGGTAATTCACCTGTGTGGTCGACTACACGGTGTGACCTTTGGGGAATTTCCTCACACCCTGGCCCCACCTGAGTTGAAAGGGCAAGCAAGCCCATTCAAATGCTAAGTGCCCTGTAGCTGGGTGAGACAAAGGGCGGTTGGGAGACTGCTGAATTGGGAATGCTTGGAGAACTTGCCAGAAACATCTGGAAAAGAAAGGCGGCTAGCTGACCCCAAGGGGCTCAGGTAGAAAGAGAGTTTGCCTGCCTATGTAGCTAAGGCAGGCAAACTCTCTTGGGGGGCGCTTGGCATACTCCTCAGGAGTTTGGCATACTCCTCAGTTGTGTGTGGTCCCTGATGGCCTTGGCACCCTGGAGCCAGGATGGCAGGAGGAAGTTGGGGAGGGGAGATGAGTGGAGGAAGTGTGGGGGTGGGTAACAGGCTTTCACAGTTTGTAAAAAGGAGTCTAGAAGATGGCAAAACTATTTGTGTGTTCCTAGATGAGATGGGGACACCCCAATCATGAATCTGTATATAGCTTAGGTTAAGAAAGCCAGCATTCTACATGAAGACTTTCTGTTAATGTTTAAAACACACACACATACACACACACACAAAAAAAAAAAACCCCACAGAAAAGCAGACTAAGACTAGGGATGGGTTGGGCACTGAGAACTTTTTAAAACTGTTCATTCATCCTGCAACAAGTCAACGCAACATACTCTGCAGAAAACCTGGAAGACCCAGATACTCAACCTGTGAAAACAGCTCCCAGCTGCAAACCTTACCCGAAGCCAAGCGGGGCCCCAGCTTTGTTCCCGGAGACCTTTTCCTCAGGCTGCTCAGACTCTCCCAAAGGGAAAACAACGCTTAAAGCCACAGAAATGGCATTAACGCACCACTGTGTAAGCAGGAATGTCAGCTTTAGGGATCTTCCTTTTCACTCAGGCAAGTCCACTCTTTCGAGGACCGCAGGACACCCCCCCCTCCCCACCTTCTGTAAGTACACGGCCGCCTCCAGGCTTCCGACACGGGGAAGCCCCTGGTGGACAAATTGCCCGCCTGGTATTTATCGGTGAAAACCACAACCGCAGCCGCCGGTCATTAGCCCGCGCCCGCAGCCGCGCACAGCCAAGTCCCCACGCCGCGCCCCCGCCCCCGAGGAAGAGGCCTGGAGCGAAGACCCCTGGAAGTGTGTTCCCTCTGGCCGCACCCTTTTCTCCAGGGGGCAAGAACCCTCCAAACGCTTCACCTTTCCCCCAAATCATTCCCATCATTAGAGTTCAAATCGGCACCTGAAAACGAGACGCGCGCGCGCGCACGAAGATCAGTTTCCAAATCGGGAAAGGTTTGCAAACATTTCACTTATCGGTCTTTTCCCCAGGACTGGCGAGGAAGGGACACACTCCGCACCGACGCTGTGTGACCGGACCGCGGCCAGTTAATCGCTCTGGCACCGGGCACTTTCACCTCCAGGTTAGCCTGCAAACTTGGCTCCGCCGAGCCGAAAATGGCCGGTATGCGCCGCGTCCCCGCCCCGAGCAGCCGGCCCCTTCCCCGCCCGGCCGGCCGCCCAAACACTTGCCTCGGTTCCAAAAACCTTTCCCTAGCCCGGCGGATGCCGCGCTCTTTGGGGACTCTTTCTAGAGGATTCTGATGATCAGTGCGACCCCTTGCACGGGCCGTTTCCTGACCTCTTTACCTTCCGCAGGGAACACCTCGCGGGGCTCTCCGCCCTCTCCGCCTTGCGCAACGGCCCGGGACCTCTCCAGGCGGCCGCCTGGCTCCGCCTCCGGAACAGCTGCGCCAAAGGGTAGGCGATACCCCGACGTGACCAAGCCCGCGCCACCGATCCTGGTAGCCAGGCACCCCCCGAGACGCCTCTACCTTCTCCGCCTGACCCCCAAGCACCGGTATTGGGCTGGGGGGCCGCCCGCCGCTCTGGGAAGCCGGCTCTCGGGCGCCCGGGCAGGTGCGCACGCTCTTTGCGGCGGCCTCCCGCCCCGCGAGCGCGCGGAAATGAGCGGCGCGGCCAGGACTGGCGACCAGCCTCGCGGGTCACTGGCACCAAGGATCCAAGTTGGCAGCCCCGGGACCCGGGCTCCTGGCCCCGAGTGTCCATGGTGCGGCGCGCCTCTCCCGCGGCGGTCCCCGGGCGCCCGCCAGCCCGCTGGCTCCTTCCGCGCTTTGCAACCCGCGGCCGCTCCGCCGTGAGGGCTGGCCCGCGCGCACAGAACCACACATCCGGCGCCGCTAAAGCCACCTGGGCTGAGATTAGTCTCTAGGAAGGGAAAAAGCGCAGAAAACGAGTCGCTTACCTGTCCTTTAGGGTGTGCAATGAGAAGTCTGGGGCGCTCCGGGATCCAGTCGCGCTTCCTGGAGACCTCAGGTTGTCTCCAGCCGGGCGCCAGGTGCGCCCGCGGTCTGACAAGCCTTTGGCCAACCGGGCGCCCTCCGGCGCCTTGAGGAGACTTGGGGAGCCCTTCCCAGTTCTCGGGGACCTCAGGCTGTCTCTAGCGGGGTGCACCCACCGTCTAACAAGTCTTTGGCCATCTGGGCGCCCTCCGGCGCCTTCGGGAGGTTTGGGGAGCCCTCCCCAGCTCTCGGGGATCTCAGGTTGTCTCCAGCGGGATGTCAAAAGCACCCACCGTCTAAAGCCTTTGGCCATCCGGGCGCCCTCCGGCGCCTTGGGGAGACTTGGGGAGCCCTTCCCAGCTCTCGGAGACCTCAGGCTGTCTCCAGCGGGGTGCCAGGAGCACCGCCTTCCAACAACCCTTTGGCCACCTGAGCGCCTTGGCGAGGTTTGCGGAACCCTTCCCAGCCCTCCTGGCTAGCCGAGCCGCTATCTTCCCGCCTTCCTCCTAACCTGCATTCCTTCTCCCTCTTCCCGCTGCTCCCGCACCCACCCCGGCCCCCCAGTTCCCCGGTGGGCAACCTACCTGGACCAAAGAAAACAAGGAGAATCTGGACCGAGTCCTCCATTAGAAACGCCGGATGGGGATGGGTCCCCGTCTGGGAGGGGACCGCGGAGATTGGTCTCGGCGGGTGGGCTTCTTGGGCTTGCAGCCGCCGCGCTGCTGCTGCTGCTCCTTCTTGGGCTTCTGAGACTCTTCGGGGTCCCGCGCAGCCCGGGGCGCGGGCTGAGGCTCCTCCCCCTCGCGGGGGCTGCGGGGCTCCGGGCGGCGGCGGGGCTGGGCGCGATTCGGGGAGGCGTCGGGGCTGCGCACCCGCAGAGCCTGGAGGCGCTGGGTGAGAGACTGGGCGAAGGCGCTCTGGATGGGCACCACGGGGCCGCGCTCGTCCTCGGGCTCGGTCTCGGGCTCAGTGGTGGGGGCGGTCTCCGTCTCGGTGTCGAAGTCGATGTCAGACTCAAGATCAGATTCGGACTCGGTCTCAGATTCGTAGTTGAACCCTTGCTCGTAGCCAGGGCACTCGGGGCGGGACACCTCTTGCTCTGGCTCCTCGGGATCCGATTCCGAATTGGGGAGCTCGGGGGCCACCGGCGCGGCGGAGCGGTGGTGGGCGTTGAGGAAGGTGCGGCGGGCAGCCGCGCGCTGGGCGCGGGAGTTGGAGGTGGCGAGGGCGCGGAGGAGCGCGATGGAGCAGGAGAGCCAGAGGAGCGCAGTGGCTGCTCGGCGGCCAATGGGTGGGCACAGATCGTTGTAATTGTGGCGAGCTCGGCGCCAGTGAGACCGGGACCTGCGATCCATCCTCTTAGGCGCGCACCAAGAAGCTGGTCCGCTCTCTGCAGAGAGCGGCTCCGGTGCGCATTGGCCGCGGGAGCCGGAAAAGGTGCACCTTACGAGGTGAGAACCTGAGTCTGGTGGTCCCTCGGTGTAAGGGCAAAAAGGGAAGCACCTACCGCTGCGACCACCCAACTTTCTAAAGCTCCGCGCCTCTTCTCGCCGCTCTGAGCAAAAGGAAGGGATGGGGGAAAGCCCGTCTCCTCCTAGGCTCCTCTCCCGAAGTCTTAGACTCTGCGGTCTAAGACCCGGGGAGGTGCCTCCGCAGATCCTCTCTCTGGGAGAGGAGAGAGGAGACTGAGGCGCGGAGAGCTGCTGGAGAGGTTCTGCAAAGTTGCGCGCCCGGACTTCTGCCGGGCATGTGCAGTAGGGCGGTGGGGGCGCCTCCCCGCGAGCTGCGCGCGCGGCGTTGAGTCTGTGGCGCAGACCCTAGTGGGCCGGCAGGTGGCAGGAGGGAACCTTGTTTGAGAGGATTTGGGGGAAGCAAGGGGGCGGGGTGGCGGGTGCCAAGGACCAAGCAATCGAGCCACAGGTTAGCAGCTGGGCATGGGTTCTCCATGGGGTTCACATCCTCTCCCCAACTTCTCCAGTGTTATCCTTAAAATGAACAAAGCCGGAAGCAGCTCAAACTAAACCTCAGACTTGCAGACATTCAGGGGAAATGAGGGTCTGGACAGCAGTATTAATGATCCTGCCCGGGCATTTTCCAAGGGCTTAATAATTTGAGGATGGTAATCTCAGGCAGTCATTAATCATGAAACCCCCATTGACAGAGCTGTTATAGTGACTGTAATGGAAGAAGTGTCCCCCAGACACCCCCTCCCATCTCCTGAGTCTCAATCTGCTAATTACTTGCTTCGGAAGGGTCTCCGTGGAGCAGCGATGGTTCTCAAGCCCAGGGTGCTCCTGTAGGAGCCCTAGTGGAGAACGTGGCCGAAGGCAGGCTTGGATCTGCTAGAACCACCACTCCGGGCAGTCTTTCCTGCCCTGAGGAGCAGTAGGCACAACCAAATGTGCCCTCTCGGGCATGGGGGGGGCGGCAGTGACTCAGGGTGTTGGAAACCTCATTGGGTATTCCTTAAAACTCATAGTTTTTTCAACAAAATTCATCCATTCAACAAACATTTATTGAGTGGCAATCTCTGTTCTAGGTGCTGAAGGTAAAGTTAAAAAAAAAAAAAAAAGACAAGAGAAAAAAAGTCTTAGATTAAGGAAAGGATATTTCGAATCAATCTGCTGTGAATTGGAGCATCAAACCACTCAGAACATCTTACCCACCAGCCTGATGAGAAACGATTGGCTCAGCCAGAGCATTAGATAGAGGGTTCAGCTAATGTCCCTGGAGCACGTTGTCGGGCCTCAAAGGCTAACGTTGGAGGAAGTTAGTAGCCTCTTTCTCGGCCCCGGAGAGTCCAATGGGCCCAGGTCCTCCGGGAACCCTGGAGTGGGTGGTCCGTGCTCAGGAGAGCGCGGTCCTGTGGGAGCTCTGGAGCACTGGGTGCCCTGGCCATTGTAACAAGACCGAAGGTGGGGAAGCCAAGGCCAACCCCCTCCCAGTGCCCAGAGAGGCATTCGTTAGCAAGGGGCTTCTCTCGGGACACATGTTTCTTTGTGTTTGAGCCAACATGGGGAACGCTTAGAGGGCCACAGCCCCCTAAAACTCTGCTTTTCCTTTTTTGCCCCCCGGCGGCCCTCCTGGAGAGCCGTGTGCCCCTACAGGTGGAATTCGCCCTCTGAAGACCAGCACCGCGCCCGCATGAAGACCAGCAAGCCAGAGGTGAGGCCCTAATGAGATTCCAGCCGCTGCTCTGGAGGCGTTGAAGTTCAGTGTCTGCATCTTGGATGCCGCTGTCTTGAATGTTCCTGACTGGCTTCTTGGCTGTGTCTCTCTTACATCTTGTGTTCTTCCAGTTAGTTTGCAGCATTAAGATGCTGATTGGTCTAATAAAGTGGGATTGATTTGGCAGACCCCATAAAAGGCTAACGTCTGTATTCTAGCCGTGCCACACTCTGACACCTTCTGGAGAGCCTGAAATGGGTTTTATTGTCACAAGTTGCTGGATGGCTCCCGTCACCGTGTGGATGTTGTTATGGGACATCTCAAGTCGTGATTGCTCCGCCACGAGGTGCTTATTTTCAAGGCTCTGCTCACAGTGGCCTGCCGGCTTTGTTTCTCTCAGTGAGCGCAGCCCGTTGACAGTGTAGGCACATGCAGACTGTTGTTCGCTGGGTTTCGGGGCACCCTGGGGAAAGAACCGGGAACATGTGGGTGCTGGCGGATGCCCTTTGAATGGAGGGGAACACCCACGGTCGGCGACGGTGTGGGTTGCGGTTCGGTAGTGTGGGTGCGTGGAAGCGCTGTCTTTTGGAAGGAGTGCTTTATGCTGTAACGGAGATGGCAGCCCAGAGCTGGTCCGCTCACAGGCACACAGACTGCCTGCATTTTTTAAAATGTGCATTACATAATACATTTTTTTGGATTCAATTTTGCGTTAGTAATGCACGTTCTTTGCAAGATTCATTTTAACCGACAAACGGATGTTGAATAGACGGGCATTCTCCAGCCCCAGATGCGTGCGGTGCCCAGCCAGCCGCCATGGCTCCAGGAGGAGCAGGAGGACCGCGCTGGAACGCCGTTCCTCTCCCGCTCAGGCCGAGGCCGAGCAAATGGATCTGTGCGGAGATGCTCTTTAAAATGCATTACGTGCATGGCTTTAAAAGTGCTTGCTGCAGAGTGAATTTCAAAAAGGAGCAAGCGGGTGATGGACGACCCCGGCTTGTTAGCAGGCTGAGGAACAAGGGCTGTGTCTGTCTGCCGGCGAATGAAGTGCGGACATCTATCACCTGCAGGCGTGCGGGCGGGGCTGGACCTGTTGGACAGGACGGCGCCGGTTCCCAGTGTCCCCGGGCCCTACAGTCGGGTGCTTATTTGGATGAATTTGAAGAATGTTGTCTTCAGTCCCTTCAAGGATTGTCCTGTGGACAGGGCATTAAGATGTGTTTTGTGTGACTCCAGAGACTAAATTAGAACTGATGGGTGGTAGTTAAAACAGACAGACTTCAGCCCAGCCCAAGGAGGAATATTCTAACAATTAGGGCTCTGTTGTCAGGCAGTGGCTGGCTCTGTCAGGAGCAGTCTTAAATCAGAGGACAGATGACCGCATATTGGAGATGTTTTCCGTGGGACTCATGAGCCGAGAAAGCTGGAAGCCGATCCAGCCCAGGTTCTCGTTGCACGAAAGGCATGTGAGGCCCTGGAGACAGGCTGGGGGCTCCTCGGCTCCGCTTCTATTTTGGAAGCGCCGGAGAGAGCGGTGGCTCGGCGACAGGAAGGAATGCGCGGGTGGCGTTTCAGGTCACGAGCAAACAGGTGTGTGCTGTGAGCTTCCACAACCAGGCCAGACTCACTGGTTGGAGCAAGAAATGAGACAAGTCTGTTCCTTATATCAGTCCTCTTGCCTCCGCACCAGGAGAGGCCTTAGAAATTAAAGATTATACTGGCTGTTCAGCAGTCAGGCATTGAGTCACTTCTGAGGCCAGGACCCTATTCCGGACACTGTGGGGAGTTGTAGTGGCGAGGGGACAACCGTCCCCCACAGCGTAACGCGCAGGTCAGGGTGAAGTGTCCCAATATTCAAAAGGGGATCGACAACAGGTGCCAAGTCGTGCACCCACGGCAGCTGCGTGACCCGGGAGGGACGGTGGGCCCGATGGCGGCAATGGTGGCCACGGCCAGCGGGACAGCTCCTCTGGGGTCTCTGAAAGGTGTGGGCTTCTACCTGGTCTGATTTGGAGATTTTCCTTTCTTTTAAACGTTTGTGGGGATATTGCTTGCCATCCCCGTATGACTACCCTGTGTGAAGCCCTGTGGTCGCTCAGGGCGAGACAGTTGAGGCGCCAGTTCTCTAAAGGCCTGCCTGGCCTGGCCTGGCCTGGCCACAGGTCCCGAGGACGCCAACACATCCTCTGAGACGAGATCCACGGGAAAGGCGGGCTCTGCTCTGCCAGGCGAGTGGGTCTGGCCGCTCCTGAGCCTGTTTTCGCACAGTCATTGGAAGGACCACCGGGAGACAGAGAGCTTTTCCAGCTTTCCTTGGGGCAGGAATGAGCTCCCACTACCTGGCACTCGCGCTCCCCTCTCCCCCCAGGTCTAGGGACAGCTCAGGCACATGTGGCTCATTTCTGGGATGCTGCCTCGCCGTTGTTCACAGGGCACTGATGGTGGCGGGTTCCCACCAG